AAAGGTGGTAGATAATGCTGAGAGCAGGCAGTGGAGGGAAGGGGATCAATTTTAAAAAGGATGGCCTGGGAGGGCGTGACTGATGAGAAGTGGCAAGTCTTGGAGGAGGAGAGGAGGAAACCCATTTAGCTATCAGAGGGTGGCACAGGAATGAAGAGCCAGAGAAGGCTCAGGAAAGGCAAGGTGGTGACCATCCTCTCATGCCTTGTAGGCCAACACAAGGACTCAGAATGAGATGGGGAACAAAGCAGTAACAGAATCTGACTTACAGTTTGCAGCATCTCTCTGGCTGCTGTGATGAAAATAGTCTGTCGGGAGACAAGGGAGGAAGCAGGAAGGTCAGTTAAAATGCCGATGGGTAGCTTAGACCAGGATGAAAGTAGTAATGATGTTGAGAGTCAAGTGCTGGATATATTTAAGGCAAAGTCAACAGGATTTATTGATTAAATGGATGTGGGATTGAGAGAAAGGGAGGAGCCAGGGATAATGATAGAATTTTGGGGGACCTGAGCAATTGAAAGGATGAAATCACTATCAGCTGAGATGGTAAAGATTGGGAGAATGTAGGCAGTGGGGGGTGGGGGTGGCGGCAGTGAGGGTGGGAGGGTTCATTCTGTTTTGGACACATTAAACTTGAGAAGACTTTTAGACATTAGATGTGTTGAGTAGGCAGCAGAATATACATGGTTGGAGTTGGACCAAATGGGTTGAAATGATATATGTGGGAGTCACCAGCATATATAATAATACATAATTGTATGTATTATCATACAGCATTTCCATGTATGGTGAGATTGTTTACTGTCTGCCCCCCACCCCCACCCCAAACTATAAGCTCCATGAGGCCAAGGACCATGTCAGTTCCCACCCAGCAAGGTACCTGGCACTCGGTAAATATTTACTGACCAAATGGAGAAGTTGCCCAATTACTCCCTTAAGAATAGTCACAGCAGCCCACACAGCGAGAAGTACACTCTCTTGCAACCACAGCGCCAAGCCCAGCCAGCCCAAAACAGGGCCTTGGGTCTGTTCACCCCGAGCTTGAGATTCCAGAATGTAAGTGGATATGCTTGGCACATCACAGATATCTGGGTTTCAGCCTTGCCACATTCTCAAAGGGTGGAGCTGGGCGAGAGACCTGCCTGTCCTACCACATCTACTTCTCCCCGGGATGGGCAGGGGAGGGGCTGCCTCACCCACTCACGGGCAGAAAGACTGCATCTATCCAGGGTACAAGCACAGGTTGGTGAGAGCCCCCCAGAGGAGTCACTCCCCTCCTTCATGTATTCTCCCAAGTCTGAAAAGACCACTCCGCACCTGAAGGCGAGAACACAGACCTACTGGGAACCTATTACAAGTAACAGGTGAAAAAAAAAAAGTGACAACCACAAATCTTGATGAGATGAGAGTACTGCCTAATCCTTCGAGCTAAAGCAAGACTCCCTGACCAGTGGGCATTGTGTCTCTGCTTCACCCACCAAGTGACCAGGAAGACAGAACTACGGCCAATGAGTGACATAACCAGGAGTAAGATTTCAGCTCATTAACTTCCCAGTTTAGAATCGCTACCTTTGTGGAGATGATAAAAACAGCTCTAATGATCTGATATAGTCCCCTCCTTTCTGAAATAATGCAAGTGCGACCCTAAGATGGTTGATGACTCGCCCAGGGTTACCCAGCTGCAGGCCCAGGACCAGAAGTAGGGTTTTAGCCCTCTATGGAGGGCTTCTTCAGTGACAAAGGAGGGGTAAGAGTTACAGTGGGAGTTTTAGGCATTAGTCTTATAAAATTATGTCCTAGTCAACAGGGAAACTACAGGTGTCATAGGAACACCAGGTACACGCTGTGAGTTAAGAACGGTTCCTTCGCTTGTACCAAGTTTGTCATCCTCCAGGGTTCTGCTTGGCTTTGGACTTCAGAATAAAGCTGTTCACAGCAGGACCCACAAAAGTGAAATAAAGACACACTAGCAGATTTTCTTTTTTAATGCAGATATATACCCCAGTAAAATGTTAAGGTGAAATTTTTATTTGTTTATTTATATTTATCTATATCTAATTTTGGGGGGCTGTGCTGTGAGGCTCATGGGATCTTAGTTCCGAGGGATTGAACCTGGGTCACAGCAGTGAACGTGCTGAATCCTAACCACTAGACCACCAGGGAATTCCCGTGTAAGCTTTTTAAAATCAACAAAAATTGAGTGCTTCCTCGGTACAAGTCACTGTGCTAAGTGCCTAGTGTGTGTGTGTGTGTGTGTGTGTGTGTGTGACAGTATCAGTAAGAGAGGCAAGCATACACACATACAAGGTCTTCAAGGCTGGCAGTGCAGTTGCTGACAGAAGACTGTAACATCAAAGAACCGTCTAATAACATGGAGTGGATCACTGTTAAGTAAGTGGCATAATGCGACTCAGAAACAGCAATTCTGTCTGCTGCGGGGGCTGGGGGATTTGTCAGGCAAGGTGCTTCTAGAAAGATAAGGGATTGGAGGTGGACCTTGAAGAGAAGAAAGGCTCTTGATAAGAAAGGGGAAAGGGCATGAGTAAACACAGGTGACCTTAATGTCAAGGAAGAGAAAGAAATTGTGTCATAAAAGGAAGGACTGGACCAGACCTGAACAGCCTTGGAAGTTAAAGTTCTTACAGGAGTGGGAGGCGCAGAAAGATTTCTGAACATAGAACTACAGGGTTTGGAATAGGTGAATTTAACAGATGTCTTCTGGGATACCAGTGCATGTAGGCATTGGATGAATGACTGAAGATGTACTTGTCTCTGTTGGGAAACTAACTTCAGCCTGGGAGATGAGCTGGCCTTGAGGTTACAAGGAGCAGGTCTGTAAGACCTGCTGAATGAAGAACTAGCAGGTCCCAGAGAATGACTCCTCCAGGTCATGGAGGCAAAGAAAGTTAGCAGAGAGGGTTCCTCAAAGTATAAATTTAGACAGCTGGAAGAATGGAAGAGCATAGGGAAGCTAGCTGAAGGCGGGGAGACGCAGAGCTGGTTTAGAAGCATTGACTCTGAAGTTAATTACATCAGTGTCCAGTACATGAATCTGGGGTTGGAGAGGCAATAGCTGAAGATAGAGTGTAGGTGTCTTTCCAATGGACAAAGAGTTGTGGGTCTATTTCCTTGGAAGGGAGATGAGAGGAAAAAAGAAAATGTAAAACTGAACCATGGGGATTTCCCAGGTGGTGCAGTTGATAAGAATCTGCCTGCCAATGCAGGGGACATGGGTTCCATCCCTGGTCTGGGAAGATTCCACATACCTCAAAGCAACTAAGCTGGTGCACCACAATTACAGAGCCTGCACTCTAGAGCCCATGAGCTGCAACACTGAAGCTCCTGAGCCCTAGAGCCTGTGCTCTGCAACAAGAGAATCCCCTGCAATGGGAAGCCCTCACATCACAAAAGAGTAGCCCCCTGCTCCCTGTAACCAGGAAAACCCAGCACAGCCCAAAATAAATAAATACATAAATTAAAAAAAAAAAACAGAACCATGGTGTCCCACACTAGGAGGTGATGGTGGGCCTGAGTAATCAGAGAAAAACCAAAATGCCAAGGAAGGAAAAGTTTTTGCTGGGAGGGTAGTTTCAAAGGGGAGAGGGTTGTCAACAGTAAAAACAAAAACAAAACACCCTACTAATCAATTACATACACTGAGCACATAAATAATAAGTATTTGTTGAATAAATGAATGAAAGAAAGCCCTTGGATTTGAGAACCCTCTTTCCACATCAGAAGAATGGCTTGTGTTGCCCTCAGACAAGTGGATTTCAATGCTAAATTTTATGTCGTCCTCCCTATAAAAAAACATGTTGCTTCTTGCACAAGTCATCCTGTCCAACACACAGACATCCTTCCCTCCTTTCCCCGTGTTTCCCCTCATTTTCATTCCCAGTTTCCGAAACTCAAGCAACACAAACCTGTGGTGTCAAAGGAGACAGGAAACACCAACCAGAGTTTCTACTTCATTAATAACTGCCTGTGGCTCCTCTTACATAAAGGGGTATGTGGCAACTGAGCAGGAGACAGCGTTCTAATCCCAGCTGCACTACTAACTAGCTGTGTAGCTGAGGACAAGTTGCTCAACTTCTCTGGATCTGGGCTTTTAATAGACAAGAGAAGGTAGGTCTATCTGGACTCTAGACAAGTTTCGAAGGTCTCCTTGAGCATTAAAGTCTGCGATTTTATCATTCTCAGAAGGTCCTTGCAACACTCTCTAAGAAGGAAGTAAAGTGAGTACAAGACCCGGGGAAACGACCGCCAGACCTCTTACTCAGGCGGAGCGCCAGGATAGGAGTGTACCCAGAAAGTGAGAAGGTGCTGCCGGCCCTCGCGGATCACCAGCGAGCAGATCCCATCCCCAAGGCTGGGAAGGATCCCCACAACCCGAGCGCGATTCCCACCCCGCACCCCACCTTTCCTAGATTCCCAGACGGCCCAGAGGCTCTAAAAAGCCCTGCGGGAAAAATAAAGATTTCTTTCCCAGAGTCCTGCGCTGCTTTTGCAAGTCGGATTCCAGCAGACATGATCTGCAGCCTGATAATGACACAGTCTTCAGAAGGAGCGACTGTGCTCGTCTCGTTCGCTCAGAGTTCTGAGGACGCCTGGCCGCCCGCGCCGTGCCCCGACGTGCGGGCTTCCGACCCCGGCCCCGCGGCAAGGCCAGCTGCGCCCCAGCCCGGGGCCCTCCTTCCCTCCGTCGGCCCCTCAGCGGTCTGCAAACATTTCCTGCCCCTGCCCCCACCCCCACTCGGAGCTTCCCAGTTGGAGCGAGTTGGGCTCGCAGCCGGGTCAGGGCTCGCGGTTGCCCCAACTCGGCTTCCCGGGCCACGGGGGCTGGGAAGTCGGGGGGGGGGGGTCCCGCCTGGCTCGGGAGCAGCCATCGGGGAAACCCAGGCGCCAGGAGCTGCGGGAGGTCGCTCGGGAAGCCCAGGTCTCCCGCAACAAGGAGGAAAACTAGCCGGGCGCTGACGACCCTGCTCCCTTCCCCGTCTTACCTGCTCGCTTGCGGGGGTGTCCTGGGGCGGTCGGCCTCTCCCGGCGCTGTCTCCCCACGCAGTTGCCCATGCTGGCTCTTCAGCCGGGCCCCATGCACCGGAGGCGGCGGGCTGATCGGCTGCTCCGCGCTCCTGCCCCGGACGGCGGCGTCCCGGGTCAACGGCTCCTGCTGCCAGGCATCGGGAGCTCACCAATCTCCCCCGGGGCGCGCTCTACCCCGGCACCGGCTTCGCCACAAACTTTGCGGGCGAGGGGAGAGAGGGAGGTGGCCGACTCCCCAGCACAGTCCTAGGTGGCCGGGCCAGGGGGGCCCGCGACGGTGCCCTGCCGAAGACCAGCTCCGCTGGAGGGGCGGAGAGAGGGGGCGGGCACCGCCGCAGATACTCCCGGCTAGCTCGGGGCTCCCAGCTGGGGCCGGCCCCCCGCAGCCTGTCACTCACCTGCGTAACCCCGCCCCAGCCCAGCCCCGCTGCCTGCTGCCGGCTCGCGGTGCCCGCGCCGCCGCCGCCGCCCGCCCCAGGTGCGCATGTGACCGACGGCACCGCCCCCTCGGGCCGGGCCTGGTTTTCTCATTGGTTTCCCCCAGGGTGCGGACCGCCCCCTCGGCCCCACCCAGCCAGGTGCCCGCCCCGCCGCCCGTCTCCCGGGGAGCTGGGCCGGGAATTATTCGCCCTCAATGGCCCCCGGCTGCGTGCCCTGCAGCAGCCTTCCCTTTCCTGAGCCACCGCCCCGACTCCAGGCCCCGCCCCTTGGGGAGGGACCGTCCCCATCCCTCCCGGGAACTGCCTGGCCTGGAGCCGACAGACACGTGATCCAGGGAGCGCCCCGCCCCTCAGCCTTCGCCAGGCGATTGGCTCGAGGAGGCGCGTGCGCTGAGAGCCCCGGCCCGTGCCACCGCCCACTTCCCCTCCCACGGTCTCCAGTTCGCGTCATGGCCGCCGCCGCGGCTCTGGAGGCGGTGGCGCCTCTGGGCGCCCTGTGGGGCCTCGTGCAAGACTTCGTCATGGGTCAGCAGGAAGGCCCCGCTGACCAAGTGGCTGCAGGTACGGCAGACGGCGCCGGACGGCTTCCTCTTTGGGACATCCAGAAGGGAGCGGCCTCAGCAGAGGCGCCTGGCGGGAAGGGAGTAAGGGACAGCGGTGACTTTGAGAGATTGGTCCGGGGCTGGTTGTGAGCACCGCATGCTTGAGAGCCATAACAAATTGCGAGTCGCTTGCAGTCTTCCTTAAAACGCCCTTACGCCCCTCGTCTCGGTTTATTGTCACTGTGTGCGCTGGCCGGGGTTAGGAGACTCATTACGGTTTCAGAGATGAGGAAACTGCTGCCCAGCGAGGGCATGAGACTTTCAGATGAGGCCGGTGGAGGAGCTGGGACTCGGACCCAGGTCCTCCAGTTTAGAACCAGGGGCTCATGCCGCGAAAGCATGTTGTTTCTATGAAGTTGACGTAAGAAGCATCTTCAGCGGCATCAGCCCGAGTCGCGTGGCATGTTGGGAGTGGCCGGGCGGCTGGATCTCTGACTGGCTGTAGTTGCAGAGAGGAGGAGAGTAACCTGTCTAGGGGGAATTTGAGATGTTCTGCGTGTCCTTCTTAAGGCTTACCCTCCGTTTCTTGTTAAAGTTCTTGATTAATTTGCTTTGTGACTTTTTAATGTGGTGCAAGGGGTGCTTGTTTTTATCTTTTCCCCAGATCTCCTGTTTCCCGCTTTTGATCAGTTTAGGAATCTCTTAGTTCTAGCAGCTTATCTAAGATTTGAATAAAACAAATTAAAGATTTCCTTGGAATTCTGAGACTTCAGTCTTTTAGGAAAAGAAAAAAAACCTAAGTAGTTACTGAGTGTTAGAAGGTCTTCAGACCTGACATTTAAGTAATAGAATACAAAGTAATCTTGTCAGTACAGATGACTTTTATTTTTGGAAATTCTGCATGTTTTAGGGAGAAGTAAAGGATACATTTCTCTTGAAAACTGAACATAAGCACTTTCAGGATGTGTAAAAAATGAATAAAGTGAATTTGTCAGAAGCATAAACCATTGATCCTTAGCATATCCCACTTTCATTCAATGCTTCCACAATTATCTAACACTTTTTTCAAACATGATGCAAAGTTATATATAAAAACAAATTACACTAAATCTGTGCCCGCCAGGGACTTACAATGTAGTGGGAGAGGCGATCATGCAAAGTGTGAAAAGGACTGCAAGAGGTATTTGCAGGGTGACGTGGAAACATTAAGGAGTAAATGAATTGCCGGATGCAGTCATTCCACTAAAGCTAAACTTACAGCTCTGTGCACTGTAGTGCGTTGTCAGTGCTTATAATTAACAACTGCACTGTTATCAGTGTCATTTTCCCCAATGTTTTATTATTAAAAACTTCAAACATCCAGTAAAGTCTTAATAATTTTTTCAAACACACACCCACTGCCTAGATTTTACCATTAACATTTTAATATAATTTGCTTTATCATGTATCTGTCCATCATTTAAATTGCAGCTATGAGTACACCTTCCTCTTAACTGCTTTGGTATGCATGTCATTAACTAGGGTTTGTTTAGTTTATTTTGGTATAAAGTTTGTGTTCAGTGACGTGTACAACTCTCAAGTATACATTGATTGATTTTGAAAAATGCATACACCTACCAGCTGCCAAGATAAAGAACATTACTATAAAAAGTGTTATTTGTAACTCTTTCCTTTCCCATTTATATATTAGGAACAAAGTAATTTAGGGTTTTCAAATTCAGAACACAATTGCAAAGCCAGCATGAATAAGGACTGCCAAGTTCTTAAAATATTTTTGTAAAATTTGTATTTTTTATGCCTGAAAAAAAAGTGGCCTAAACTATTGTCTAGTTTAAATTTAACTCAGCTTAGCTAAGTATGTAATACTAGCCCTGTTGTAATTTAACCCTCCTGATTAGGAAAGGAGGTTAGTAATAACAGATAACTAACAGAGGAGTAATAATAGATAAGGTTGAAAAGGTTTGGTGGGGTTGAATGATGCCTAACCTTGGATTCTAAGCAGAGGGATTTGAATGACCTATTCTACATAATTGGAGTCAGTGTAGATCCTTGAGCAAGGGAGTCATATAGTGAAGGTGAATTTGAGAAGGATTAAGTTGGTATTCTTATATCACAGCTTTAGTTAGAGTTGTTGAAGGGTGACAGAGTTTTGAAGCATCCCCAGAATAAGATATGCTTTCTAATCCTCCAGCCTAAGTCAAGCTCTGTGATTGATGAAGGGGACCAACTTTCTCTTCAGCCACTCATAGCAGCAGCGCCTCCTACAAATGTAACTGCAGAAGGAACACCCTGTGATCACAAAGGTAGTTACCACCAACTTTGTTTTGCATTTGAGTTCCTGATGAAAATAGGTGTCAGATGCAGAGGGTACAAATGATGGAAGAGAAATGACTTGGCAGCCTAAGGGTTAAAGACTTCTCAGCCAGGCATTCCGTGGCTGCCACTCCCCTCCTGGATCTTTAGTTCCAGGCAGCCACCTTGATTTGCTCTTCCCCCCGAGTGCTTTTCTTCCCAGATCCCTCCACTAGCTCCATCTAATTCAAGTTAGACCTGGGATTAAAGGCCCAGTTTGAGTGCTCAGTGCCTGCCCCCAAGTGTCTCCTGATCCTCTAGGCAGACATCATCTCATACTAGAATCTTTGTGGAACTTATTTCTCAACCACTCATACTTTTTACCTGACTTTAGTAGCTACTTCTGTAAACGTCTCCATATCATACCCTACTGGAGAGTCCCCTGGAGACTAGCATAAGTAGGTAGCATAAGAGATGAATAAATGAATAAGAGATGTTGAAGGAAGAATTTATGGAATTTGAGGCCTAACTAGTTACAGGGCTTGGAGGTAAGAGAGGACTCTTAAGATGACCTCAAGAATTTGAGCCTGAGGATGAGCAAAAGAAAAGTACTTTGTCCAAAAATTGGAAAGGAGATTTTGAACACGTTGGCCTTACAGGTGATGGATATAAAATTTCTTCCTCTTATTTGGATTTGCCTTCATTTCAGTCTTCATTGTATTTTCCCACATTTGTAATTCCATGAGACCACTATTCTTGAAATCAAAAGGCTGTTAAAGAAAAATAAATATAGTTCTGAGAAAAGTGTGGCATCCTCAGCAGAAAGGGAATTTTGAGAACTTGATTGGAACTGAGTACCGACTGGGATTTCTCTCTCCTGTTCCTTCACATCCTCCCCCCTGCCCCCTTGGCTGCTATTCAAGAGGCTGCGACTCCATCAGACAGAAGTGTGATTGTGCATTCTGTGTCAGTGCTCATGGAAATACTCCTTTGACGACTCCTCAGTGCCCCACATGAGCTGGTGCCCTGCTAAGGAAAGAGTGGGTAGTTTAGCAGGTGCTAGTAGGTTCATTTTTAGAGAACAAATCTTGAACACATTGGAAAAACTTAGATCTACCTAAATAGGGAGAGAAACTTACATTTATTTTTCCTTATGCCTGTGAGACTGCTGTTGGTAAAATTAGCTTTTTAGCTTCTTTCATCCCTGGAGTTCAAGTACATAACTAACTTCCAGGTATTCAGGTGTTTTTCATTTGGAAGAACTAATCACTTGAAGTTAGTGATGGGGGGTTCCATCCCTGGTCCTGGAAGACCCCACATGCCGTGGAGCAACTAAGCCCATGCACCAGAGCTATTGAGCCTGTCCTCCAGAGCCGAGGGACCACAACTACTGAATCCTTCGTGCCCTAGATCCTGTGTTCCACAACAAGAGTGTTAGTTGCTGTTGTATCCAGCTCTTTTTGACCCCATGGACTGTAGCCTGCCAGGCTCTTCTGTCCATGGGATTCTCTAGGTGAGAATACTGCAGTGGGTTGCCATTTGCTTCTTCAGGGGATCTTCCCGACCCAGGTATGAACCTGGGTCTCCTGCGTTGCAAGCAGATTCTTTACCATCTGAGCCACCAGGGAAGCCCACAACAGGAGAGGCCACCGAAATGAGAAGCTCATGCAGTGCAACAGGAGAGTAGCCGCCCGCTCTCTGCAGCTAGAGAAAAGCTAATGTAGCAATGAAGACACAGCACAGCCAAATAAATAAAATTACATTTAAAAGAAAGTTTAAAGATAAATAAATAAAGTTAGTGATAGATCGTCCCACATGGGCCTCCCTGGTGGCTCAGATGGCAAAGAATCTGCCAGGAATGCAAAAGACCTCGGTTCAATCTCTGGGTTGGGAAGATC